TTTTTATGGTGTGTGTTATTCTTCCTGTTAAGGGAAGTGCATTAATTAAAGGGAGTGCATTAAATTGCAGAGCCAAATCTTTGTCGTGGATGGGGTGGTGGATGGAGACTGCAGAGCATGCTTATCTTCCAGAAAGTGAGTTGAGGTGCATGTGCGGAGTGTGTGCTTGGCAAGACCTGGAGGCTTGGCGAGGCCTGCAAGAAGCCAGGAGATGTGTTATGCCTTTTGAGCAAAGAGGAATGAGGATAAGCTGTGAAGGGCAGAGGGGAGGATAGGGTCGAATCACTGAAGGCCTTTTCAGGAGTGCTCCATGCTGCAGTGGCTCTGTATTCATGGGCACATGAGAGAGACTTGCCTGCAAAGCAGTTCTCAAGAGACCTTCAGAATCCTCAGGACTTCACGCAGGTTATGATGAGCAAGCAGCAGGAAGAGGCATGGTAGGTTTATCTAAAGTCCTGTCCGTGCTTCAAGTAAAGATTGGCATCGGCATTTACAAAACATTTTGGCAAAAGGGGAGAAAGATAGAAGGAGAAATGGAAGGAGAGATGTAGAGAAGAGGAGAATGGTCGGGATGAGAAAATAATGGAAGGACATAGAAATGAAGTAGGAAATGGAGGAAAAGCTTGTACAGAGAGGGTGGTCGGGGGGAAGAAGAAAGAAAAAACAACTCACCAGCATGAATCGTGAGAGAACTTCATATGAAGACAAGACTGAAGGGAGGCATATTTCAAATACTCTGATTTCCTGGGGAGCTTCTCTTTCAAGTCATTGCCGTCTTCTCACAAAGAAAACAGCGAGAGCTTCCACGTTCTCTGCATAGTCTACCATACCGTCTTCAAGCAAGAATAGGTACCAGACACTTCATTCCTTTTCCCTCTGCATCCTTGTTTTTTATCGTGCAGATTCGGCCCCTTGCCAATGATTTCCTGCACCCCATTGGACCCGCAACAGCAAGTTGCAGTTCTTAAAGCACTTTTGAGTCTTCAATCCGCTAAAAAAAAAAGGCAAAAACAACAACAACACTACAAAAATAATAATAACAGTATGGTGTTCTCTGTTGTTCGTTTATACGGGTGCAACCAACAAGGGTGGAAGGAGCGGGATCCTGAACTGGATGAAGGGAAGCAAATCTTGCGGGTGAAAAAGTCTTGTTCCGGGGAAGGTGGATTATCCCGGAAGATGTCCCCGATCTATGGTGGTGTTTCCGTGTGAAATGCCGAACAGAGAAGTCCGCAGCATCTGAGCCGAGAGGTCACCCCAGGGCTGGTGCCGGAGCGGCGGTGCCGAGTACAGTCGGTGCTCAGGGAGGTTCGGGGCGACGGGGGCCGGTGCCGGTAGCGGCGGTCCCAG